TTATATATATATATATATATATATATATATATATATATGTGTGTATATATATATATATATATATATATACATATATATACATATATATATATATACATATACACATATACATATATATAAAAATATACATTTATTGATTTGAAAATAAACGTAATGTCTCGAACACTTTACCATTTTATTTTTGTGTACACTTTCGGAAATTCTAGTAGCACCAATCTGCCGAATAGTTCCTTGCACATAGTTCATGGTGCACTTAACAATTTTAATGGTTTGGGAAATTTCCTGTCCTTCATATGTTATAATGAGGTGTTTCATCCTATCATTAATTTTAACACATTTGAAATTTCCTGAACAATGGTGATGATTTGGAGAATTTCTCCTTCGTAATTTATGAGTTATCCTATCATTAATTCTAATACACTACAGGTGTTTTAAGTAGGGGGTTCACTTGGTCAAGAATTCTTGCTCCGAGGCCAAGAACTACAGTGTACACTGCTTGAACTGATTGCTAGTGCCTGAGCAGTATTGCTAATCCGCCTGAACGACTCCATTAAATGTCAAGCCTGAAAAATTCTATGCTTAAACTTGAGTATCTTACACAATAAACAAATTAAATAAATATATGTACCCAAACATCTGTACAAGGCATATTATTTTCTCTTATATGCATATACAGTTCCTCTAAAACAGTGATTTAGAGGCACTGTAAAAGGCACCTCTAAAACTAATATCAACAGAAGAATGTTGTAAGAAATTTTGAAAAATGAACTGCCATCAAGAACTGTTGGCTGGATCATTTTTCCATGTAATAGCACTAATAATGATACTTGTAACAAAGATGCGCATGTAGAGGATAATCATAATAATTGTTACCAACATTATCATCATCAATGTCAATTTTTCCACCCATGTTAATGTCAATATTATTTTCGCTGTCATTATTTTTGTTATTCTCAATTCAGAGAGAAGAGTTAAAGATAAATTGTTCGTCTTATATTGATATATAATTTATATAAAAAAAAAGCTTTTTCCTTCCCATCATCTCCTTGGCTACTTTTCGTTTTCAGTTAACAGTATGTTCAAAGCATTTGAAATTATGAAAATTGCTGAATAAAACTGCACTAAAGTAAAGTAAAATAAAGGGTATTGAAGGATGGCCAAGTTAGTAATTAGTTGCTATTGAAAAGGTTAATAATGGGTAAAGGAGTTGAGTGAATGGGTTACGGTAGGGGGTAGGTAAGGGGATTAGATCAAGTGAAGGCTATGTATGCGTCTGAGGAAGGAGAACAGGTTGTCAAAGCAGAAAGTGTGGGATTCTGTAAGGATTTCTGATAGGTTGGGACATCGGTGAAAGGAGGATAGGTGGGGGGAAAGCAGAAGTACAGCTGCAGCAAAGCATTGGCAGGACAACAGAAAGTGGAACTGAAAGAGGACATTACACAGGGGACAGGGGACATAGGGGTCGGTCAGAACGTGGCATCAGATTGGAGTGTGTTAGATGGATGTGGTCAATACGTAAACATGCGAGACCCGTCTCCCAACATCTGTTCCAGTGAAATGGAACTGACCAAGAGGAGATTGATAGTTTTACAGTATGTAATTCCTTAGTGCGGGGACTTGACCAGAAAGATTGCCATCGGGTATACAGGAAAATCTTACAGTGGCGGTAAAAATCGGGGGCTGAAATATATGAGAAGCGTGGTTGGTGTGATGTGGACATAGTGGCGTAACATGCTAGAGTATCTGCCTGTTCATTGCCAGGGATTCCAACATGGCTGGGCACCCAGCAATATCTGATAGATTTATGGCGTGTGGACAGGTAGAACAAAGAATTCTGGATATTACAGTCATTTTATGAGAGTTAATGAGGTATGGGAGTCAGTAAAAATAGTGAAAGAGGAAGAAGGGATCATGAATACTGGAGGAATGAATGGAGACACGGTGAAGGAAATAAGTGAGGACAGATGGGGGGATATTTGATTTTGGTTGGTCAGGGAAAACAGAGGAGCAAATACAAGGGTAAAGTATAAGCAATTGAAGAACAGAATGGACAGAAAATGGGAGAGGTCAGAGATGGGGATAGGGGGAATGGGGGAGGAGGGTATCCATGCATAGGAGGAAAGGAGTAGGTAAATGTGGAGAAGAAGCAAAGGCAGGAGGCAGGGATCGTGGAATAGTTAGTTTGGTGATGGAAAGTTGGTGGAACTGAGGATATCATTGGAGAGAGAACTGTACAGCATCGAGAGAGATATGGCATGCCTGACTTAGTTTACAGGCTTTCAACTGGCGAGGAGCAGGAGGCACCTAGGACTAAGCAAAGACCACAGTGTTGTATCAAGGTAAGCAAGAAAGGAGGTTGAGGCCGAGTAGATATGGCATCCATAATCTATAGTGGAGAAGATCAAGGTAACATGAAGATGGAGATGTGGGAAAGAGTCTGTAAGATTCGGAGGTGGCGGTGAGCTTTTTCTTTAATACAAAAGATAAGGTCTCACCAGGACAATTTGGAGTCAAAAATAATGCCAAGGAATTTGCCAGAGAAATGGTATTGAAGTGGAGCGCCATATAAGAAGAATGGAGGTTGGGGACCTACACGTGCTTGAGAGAAGGAATTGGCGGAGATTTGGTATGGATGTGCCAGAGGCGTATATGGTTAAGTCATCGACATATAGTGATGCCTGGGCTCCTAGTGGTAGAAGTGAGACAATGTCATTAACAGCAAGAATGAATAAAGTGATACTAAGAACACTGCCTTATGGGACGTCTTCCAACTAAGGAAAGGATGATGAGTGGTCGAGGCAAAACTTTATGAAGATCCCATGTTTTCACATATGTCTAAGGAGGACAACTGTTGGATAATATGGTGCCACCATGTGGTATCATAGGCTTTTACTAGGTCAAAGAATATGGCTAAAACAGATTCATGGCTTGCAAATACAGATATAACGTCTACTATACTTTGGGCCCAGCAGAAACCATTTATGGGGTTGAAGGGGAGGATAAGAGCTTCTCGCCAATGAGGAGGAAAATTTCCTGATGTCCATGTGTGGTTGAAAATAATTAATAGGATAGAGGGGAAGATGGGAGGTGTCGGAGCATACAATGGTGAATAACATCAAGGCCTTCATGAGTTGCAACACGACTGAACGGCAGCATTGAGTTCAATGGAAGAATGAGGACTCATAAGACTCATTAGAGGTTAGAGTGAAGTTGATGTGGGTGTTCCAATGGAAGAGAATTTTGGGGAAAGGTGCGAGTCACAACTGACTTGGCTGTAATAGTCCAGTTTATTAGTGACGTGGATAGGATCAGAGATGAAAGTATCTTGAATATGGAGGACGGGGGCTGGGTGGGGGGGGATGTTTGCCTGATGGTTGCCAAACAGCTGAAACAGATGTAGATGTAACTGAGGAAACATAATTTCGTCAGCTATTTGTTTTACTGTTCCGAATGGAAATCTAAATAGAGAGAGGAGCATAGAGAGAGGTTTGGGCATGAAAAAGATTGTATACATATGTCAAAGTGCATGGAGCGATCTGAATTAAGATTTTATTATTATTATTTTTTTTTTTTTGTGGAGAGGAAGCGTTCTAGGGATCGGCCACGGGAGGTGGTGACAGAATCACCCCAAAGAGTGTGGCGGCAGTTAAAATCACCAACTATGAGAAAAGTGTCTGGAGTTGGGAAATTAGAGTTTCAAAGGCAACAGAGTCAATGGTGTGGGAATGAGAGAAGTAGACAAATAACTGTGCATGCAACAGTGGTTTGAAAGGTCAGTATGACATAAGGCATTTTCTGATGGATAAGTATAGACGAGACATAAAGGGAGTGTGAGGACAAAAAGGTAGTTGGAAATTGGTATAGAAGGATGTGTAAAAAAAGTCTCCTGGAGTCAGATAACAGATGGGTTATAAGAGAAAAGTATATGACGGTGGTCAAGTCTGTGAGAAAGGAAACACCGAATATAAAGCTATAACTCCGTTGATCTATGAGTGATAACGGTTGCAGTGCGTGTTAGATAATTTGAAGGGGAAGGAGCTAGGGCGTGAGATAGGGAATTTGAAGGGGCCTTGGAATTTTCAGGGGAGAATCAGGGGCCCTGAAACTCCTTAAAAATGCATTAAACTCGATTTCAGCAAGATAGGCAAAAATTGCCGAAAAATGACTAGACGATCCCCTTAAGATATTTGTAGAGTTTGGGGTAGTAGAAGGACAGGGACGTGTGGAAGAGGGAGTATTGTTGATGGGGGTAGATTACGGAGAGGTGGACAATAAGACTGTAAATTAGTAATATGGGAGGATGGGGTAATTGATGAAGGTTGTGGGGGTAGAGGTAAAGAAGAGACCAAATCCAAGAGACTGTGTCTTGACTTGGGTAGATATTGTACTAGTAGGCATTGAGGAGTGGCTTGTAGTTGCCGTGTTCATAGTCGTAGTCAAAGGAGAGCCTGGGGTTGGGGAACTGGGAGAGTTTGAATTGGTGGGGCTATTTGATGAAGGGGTAAGCCTTATTGCCCCTTACAAGGATATAATGTCATTACTGGCCATGGTAGCTCATGGCTCCAGGGCCATCCAGGACTGGCACAAAGTCAGCTTTTCATTCTTTCAACACAGCTCTCACACCTTAGGAAGTGGATAGTAGAAGAGGTTGGAGAAGGAATGGAAACGAAAAAAACAGGAGGGGACAAAGACCCTGCAAAATTAGTTGAGATAAAACATAAAGTAGAGTTTTTGGTCAACACCTGCATTCTAAGGACTGTAACCCAAATGATTCACAAACGACACTGTTGCCATGGTGACTCACCATCTAAGTTAGCTGAGTTAGCAAGAAAAAGAAATTTCCCTGCTTAAAATGCCCCTAGTTTTAGTTCTAATGCTTCTTTTGTTTTTTCTTCTAAGCATATTGCACCATAGTAAAATATTTACAATTTCTATATCACTTATGTGACCTAATTCAATATTTATCAATGAGGAAAAACACATACATTGAAATGTATTCTGAACCTCCGCTCATCTACTTACTGGGGAAGAGATGACTTCACAAACTTCATAGGGATGGTTTTCCTTAACCATTGTAGTCAATTCTTCCAAACGTGAGGACCGGGTCTTGATAATCTGGAATACAGAAACTGCTATCTTCCACAGTACACTTTATGTGCAATAAAACAAAAATCATATCCTGTCTGAAATACAGGAAATGGTTAGAACTCTCCCTCCATAGGAAAGTACAAAATATGTAAAACACTTTGATAAAAAATACATCAAATTTATTGGCAAGCAACGCAAAAACTGCTTAATGAAATATATACACAAAACGGCTATATGCTCACCATTAGGACTTCAGGGTCTTCATTTATTTCTTCTTTCCATTCATAACTGCAATAAGAAAAAAAATGCAAATATGAATTACTAGCATAAAATAATAGTGAAAAAAATGTTCATTTCCATTCTGAATACAACGCCTGTATGCTTCACTCTACATATATCTTTTGCCACTCCCCCCCTTACGAAATGAAGGACAACATCCACCCTCACTCCACGGCGGAGGGTGCAACTTCGTACACCTTGTAGATCATCCAAAACCCCTGCTTTTATCGCAAGGGAGTAAGGATGCTCGTTGCGGGTGGGGAGGCTGCGAGCTATAGAAAACGGGGAACCCACTTGGTGTCTCACCTGCATTTTTTTTTTTTTTACTTTGCCTTTCTTTTATGTTTTATGTCGCCGTGTTTTCAAGTGTTTCAAACATTTTTCACAGAAAAGAAAGACCACCAAAAAGGGAACAAATTACAAAAAGGAGACATAATAAAATGATCTTTTTATTTGAAAACTATTTTACATTGAAATTCTATGAACTTTTATTATTGTGGAATGGTTAATGGTTAATGGTTAAAAGCAAAATAAATGTACTAGACATCTAAGGTCATATAGCACTATAGGAAGGGGGATATCAGGTGATAGTTGCTATGCATCAACTATCTAGAGTAATGTTGAAAGGTTGAAGTTGGGTATGGGTTGATGAGGGAAAGGGTTATGGTGGTTTAGGTAAGGGAGTTGCATCAAGTGAAGGATATTAAGGTGTTTTATGATGGATAAGTATAGACGAGACAAAGGGAGTGTGGGGAAGAGATAAAATGGTAATTGGGAAATGGAATAGGATGTGTGAGGAAAGTCTCTTGGAGGCAGATAATAGATGGATTATAAGAAGCAAGGATATGACATAGGTCTGGTCTGTGAGAACGGAAACTGCGAATATTCCAATGTAGGAGAGCTATATCTTTTATGAGTGAAAGCGTCGGTACATCTTGGGGAATCTGGGGGGGAAGGAGCTAGGGGGTGTAAAGGAGGGGTATCAGGAGGTGGGGAATCTGGGGGGGAAGGAGCTAGGGGGTGTAAAGGAGGGGTATCAGGAGTTAGGGAATCTGGGGAAGGGCACTGTTGTGACATGAGTGATTCCCATGTGTATCCAGGAGGGAGTTTAAAGGATACAGGGGATGGAGTGGGGGAGAATGTGCATATAGATGAGGTTGAAGGAGATGTGTTGTCTTGGTTGGCATTAGGAGGAAGGGGTGTAGGGGTGCTGTGAGTAAGAGGGGGATGGATATCAAGAGGATGGATATCGGTGGTGGACGGAATTGAGGGTGTTAGGTTGTGTTGAGGGAGTAGGAGGAAGAGGTGTAGGGGGAATTTTAGTAGGAGGAATATGGATATCAGCAATCACTTCAAGTGTGGAAGGAGCAAACGATCTTACTAAAGTATGAGAGAAACACTGTCAACGTTCTTCCTGTCTGGCTACACGTAAAGTGAGACCATTTTTGTATCTGAGAGTTGCTACCTCAGATTCAAACTTGTAAGTGGGACAGCCTCTATAAAATACATTATGGGGGCCGCCGCAGTTAGCACATGTACGTGTTTGTGCTGAGCAGTTTGATCGGTTATGACCAGGTTGGGCATATATGGGGCATCGGTCTGTGGAACGACAATGTTTGGCAGGATGTCCAAAGTGCCAACAGTTTTGACATTGGTGGACAATCCTTCCCTGTTCGACCATACCAACCCCTCCACGTCAATGTCAAAACTGTTGGCACTTTGGACATCCTGCCAAACTTTGTCGTTGGTATGGTCGAACAGGGAAGGATTGTCCACCAATGTAGATACATAAGGGAAGGTCATGTGTAAAGAAAGTAATTTTGGCAATGTTGGTCGGATTCTTTCGTTGACCTCTAGGAGGAATGGTGTAGCAATGTACTGATTTCACATCTTGGTCTTTGAGGCATCCTGATAAGTCTTCTCCACATTTTGACCAATCTTTGGTATTGACTGGGCAGTTTGCTGGGAAGAAAGAGACAGTTCGGGTACAAGTATTAAGGGTTGGAAGAGGTTCTGCAGGAATGGGATTGCCAGAATGATCAGTTATATTTGATAGTGCTATAGATTCAGTTTCTGATCTGACTGTTACAAGGCAGGAGCGATCGCGTCTGGTATAGAAAGGGACTCTGCCCA